CGCTCTAGAGGTGTGTAGGGCACTACTGCAGAGAAAGCTGAGGACTGGAATAGTACTCCATAAAGCATTCATGCGCGTTCGAGTCCTAGAATAGACAGCAAGCCATCAACGGACATTCGAATTCTTCGTTATAACGCGATTTATGTACGGCAGTGCCGTTGGCGGAGCTCGTAGTCTCATCTTTCTCAGTCGCGAATTTACTTTTCGGCCATAAGTAATTGCGGCTCTTTTTCTCGTTAACATGTCGGGTCATCGGTATCCTATTTGACGAGAGATCGGAAAACGTCTCTTTGGTCGCGTAGAACGCTGGACAGAACGCGTGCGGGAACGAAATTTCAAATTTCGGGAACATTCTCTCCAATCTCCTCGATCCCGAATATCCTATAAACAAATCGGATTTCGGCTTTCGAGCTTTTCCGATGATGGTCGGGATATGAATAAAAGAGAGCACTCGCGCTTTTACTTTGAACATCGGTAAATACGCGACGCATCGACGTTCTCGTATATTCGTAACAAATCTTTTTGCATCGTCCGTCCAGCTGGCTTGCTTCGCAAGCGCGATAACGCGTGCAAGAACCGGCTACCTGGCGACTTTCGTCGGCTTGGCCGATACGTGTCACACAGATCATAGTTTTTCCTCATCTCCCCGGTCGGGAACTTTGTCGCGACGTATATTACGTACTTCGCACGAGTACGAAATGCATATCCGCTCTCTGTTCCCTTCGCTCCCTCGTCGTCCATTTTCGATCCCGCGCGCCGGGACTCGCCCCGTATTTTTCCTAAGATCACGACGGCGTGGTTTCGCGGAAAATTTGCGAGTACGACGAGAAAGTAGCCGGCAGCCGCATTCTCTCGCGTGCATAGGGAGTGTCGGCGGTGGCGGAGACAGCGGTGGTAGTGGTGGTAGTGGTGGTGGTGGCGGCGGCGGCGGCGACGACGGCGGCGGCGGCGGTAGTACCCAATAATACGTGACGTCAACATGGCGACATGTATCATTATCTCGGTAAACACCAATAACGCTGGAATTTCCCTGCGTCTACGAGTTCCCCTGCATCCCGCACTCCCTTCTAGCTCTATGGGTTAGAATCCCCCTGGTATACCTAT